GGAAGGAAGGAAGGAAGGAAGGAAGGAAGGAAGGAAGGAAGGAAGGAAGGAAATGATGAATAGCTTTCCAGAAGTAATGACTAAATCAAAAGTGTTTCAAAGCTGTTAAGAATTCAGTTTGTTTCTCCTCCCCTCATTACATAAAATCTTAATAGACAGAAGTCTTAGTTATCTAAATTAGGTACAAAATCAATATGTCGTTACTGAGAAATTTACACAGGATTATATTGCCACAGGAAAAAAGCACAAAATTTTAAGCATAGCTAGCTTATTCATTTTATTACCTATATAACTGGTACCTTGGTTGTTATTCAGTTATATTTTTTGTTCACAAAATATTTGCCCTAATTTTTCAGAGAAAACTGCATATAATGCACCGGGAAAGTTCTGAACATTTAATTGTACACAACCATGTCTCTGTCCTAACCAAACAGATAACAAAGTGCCCGGAGACTTTTTTTGATAGTCTGCTCTATGTTTATGGCACTAAACTCACATTGATTCACTTAATGACTGTGGCATTCACTGAATGACTGCCACAAAAAAGAGAGCATAAAATTGGGTCAGTCCATTGGAAGCCATGACTTACAACAATCATTACTTACAGTGGGAATTCTAGGTTCCATTACAGTGACAATTTGAAGAACTGCCTATGGAGTTTCTCAGACCTTCAGGTCATCGTTGACCCAAAGGTGCTTTTTCAAGAGTCAACTGGACTTTCTGTTTTTTTCTTTGAAGACGTTTCACTTCTCATCTAAGAAGCTTCTTCAACTCTGACTGGATGGTAGGGAATGGAAGGATTTATACTCCTTGGCTTCAAAGAAAAACCAGAATATCCAGTTGACTCTTGACAAAGAACCTTTGGGACAGGTGATGACAGAGAATCTGTACAGACTTTTAGCTATACAATTTGGAATGAACACCCTTTGAATGATGTGGGAGTAGGAATGGATTTCCAGAGGAAAAAATGCAGACTGCAGGAACCATTTACACTACTCAGGTGACCCCGAGGACACAGATAAATCTCCAAGTGCTTCAATGGCCCTCTAAAAGGATGCAAATGACCAGCTATCTGCAAGGAATATAATCCTTCCATTCCCAGTCAGAGCTGAAGAAGCTTCTTGGATGAGAAGTGAAACAACTTCAAAGAAAAACCAAAAAGTCCAGTTGCCTCTTGAAAAAGCACCTTTGGGACAAGTTGAAGAATAATACCGCTCTAAGAAATTGTTTATGGGATTACTCTATGCAAAAGCCAACCCTGATCAACCAAAATAACTGGACAACAGAATGGAAATGGTCAACAAAAAGCATCGAGAATCCCCAAAATTACTGAAAACAACCAATTTTGGAACAATTGTTTCTCATTGTCACCTGGAATACATCACTATTCAGAATACAGAGGGATGGGTGAGTGAGTGGATGAACTGGATATGTTATAATATTCTATACAGCCAATTATTTAAAAAGTCCATTTATGTATTCATCTGAATAATTGGGATTATTGCTAAATATCTTTTGATTCAGAGCTGAAGAAAACATATGGCTGAACTTGCTTATTTCAGATAAAGTAACAAGTTTCCCGGGCAACTAGTTTGATGTCTTCTGGAGATAAAGCAGCTCTCTTAGAAAGGTGTTGGCAACTATTTTTATTTCTTCTGAAATCTTTCTTTTTTTTACACTTTGGTCATATGGTGGGCCAGAATTTACCAAAACTGTATTGACGGTTAGTGAGAATATAATAAAACATTGAATTTATTCACTTTTCAGAACCCTCCTGGGTATTGTTCAGGAGATTATATCAATTTTTCACCCCAATTTGGCTACTGTAGAATAATTTGTATTGTTGAATACTGTTGTGCTTCTGCTAATTTATGGAGGAGGAGGAGGAGCAGGAGGAGGAGGAGCAGGAAAATAAAATATAATGTTTTACCTATATATGATTCTTAAAAAACCAAAAAGAAAAAAAAGACCATTAAAAACAAAAATACAAACACAATGCTGCTTGTGTTTGCTGCCAAGTAGGATTATTAGAGGCAAGGTGAAGTCAACTACCCTTTAAATATTTGATCAGCTATTGCACAAACAGCTCAACTTCACGGTGTCTTGTCTGGCTGCAGAGAATATTTTTGGAAGTAACAAACTCAAACAGTGCTAACACCAGTGACAAAATGAATTCTATGTGAAGCATCCAATCTTTTGAAGACCACGCATATAAAATCATATCCTAAATGCCAATTCAATTTTTCAAGATCCTGTGGTGGACATATATATATATATGTATGGCATTCAGCTTTGTTCGGGTATTTTCCCACGTCATTGT